TGAAGGACATCACATCAGTCTGAATTGCTGGGTAAGCCTTGCATTGCACTGCAGGTCAGTCTGCTCAAGTGGAAGGTCAAAACAGGATTGTGCCTATCAAATGAGAAAAGGAAAGCTACTCAAGCAGCTTTTTTCATTTATTTGTGGGAGTCTGCATAACGTGGCCTGACTTTGAGCTGGTCATGAGAGGAAAAAAAACCAACAACCAAACAACTAAAAAGTGGTTGAATGGTTGATTTTTAATCTGGTGGAAGAAAAAGATGAACCTTGTTATAAGTGATAAGACAAGGCAATAAAAACCACAAACTATGGAATTATTTGCCCTCTGGAGGTAATGGAAGCAAAGCATTCCCAGAATAAAAGCAAAATTTGAAAAGAAAGTGCTTTCACCCAATAGAAGAGCCAAGGACAACTTATCTGTTTGACCCCATACTATCAATGAGGAAGGTGAAGTCAGTGGCTCAGTGGGCACCAGGCAAGGTAGAGGAATCCAAGTCTTTTTCTTTTGGATATAGAAACTCCTCTCCCCCCCACCAAAAATGAGAAAAGCTCTTGAGGTTGCAGATTACCATCCCAACTTTTCTTAAAGTTGTTTAGTTCTTGCATTTATATGTTTGTTTAGAGCAAGAACTTGAAATACATGCTTTGAACAGTCATACTTTCTTAGCACACCATGTAACCAGTTTTTTTTGGTTTTGTTTTGTTTTGTTTTGTTGTTGTTTTTTTTAGGCAAGTGGGGTTAAGTGACTTGCCCAGGGTCACACAGCTAGTGTCAAGTGTTTGGTCTGAGGATGGATTTGAACTCAGGTCCTCCTGACTCCAGGGCCCATGCTCTATCCACTGTGCCACCTAGCTGCCCCATGTAACCAGTTTTTAAATCATGCCTGGGGCATATAATGCTGGGAGTCTTGAGACCATTGTTCAAAGCCCCTGCCATGGGATCCTGGGTAAATCAAATAATCCCTCTGAGTCTCATTTTTCTTATCTATAAAATGACAGGTTGTTAGGAAAAGACAGATCTTAGGCTTCTTGTAGTTCTGACATTCAGTTGATGGATCCATCAATTAACAAGGATTTATTAAGTATCTCTTATGTGCCAGAGAATGAAATAATCCCTACCCTCCAAACATCTCATATTCTAGTGGGGAGACAACAAATACATATACATATATGTACAGCTTAAGTTTAAATTGATTAAATACATACATGCATACATATATACATTACATTTAATAAATTACATAAAATACATTTACACATACAAATATATTTAATAAATACATTACATTAAATGCATTTAAACAAGCAAATAAATTACATTCAATAAATCAATTATATTAAGTACAAATATATAGTGCATACAAAGTAGGTAAACACAAAACAGTTTGGGAGGGAAGGCAGTAGCAGTTGGGGACAACTGGGAGGCTTCATGCGGGAGATGGTGCTTGAGTGGTGTCTTAAAAGATGAGAGGGGGACTGTCTGCCTCTGAGGCAGAGGAAAGGACGTGCCTGGAATACAGGCACGTGGGATAGCAATGCAAAGGAGATGGAGTATGTGTGTGAGGGGAGAGAGACACACACAGGGAGACAGAGAGAGAGAGAGAGAGAGAGAGAGAAGGGATGGGATTGAGTGAACATGTAGAGTGATTGGCTTTAGCAAGAATGGCCAGCTTTCTGTCAGAGACTGAATGATGATGTCAGGGGAGGTTTTTGAGATGAAGAGAATGGGAGAAGGAGTTCATATAGGATGGTCTCAGTTTTCTCATAAAGCAAGAAGTAAGGCCCTCAATTAAATGGAGAAGGGGGGTGGGTAGGGGGCTTGAGAAAGGGAGAAAGGGCTTAGGATTGCTTCTGTGGATAGTAAGATAGGAAATTAATTAGCGAAGAACAAAAGAGGAACTACATTGCTGCAGTGAGGGCCAGTTCTGGTTGGATACCATGAATTTGTAAGGTACCCAGGCACCGTGGTTGTGAGACTTCTCCCTGCTATGCTCTTGAGTAGAAGCAGAGATGGCAGGCAGCAAGAATAATTGAGGGTTGACATTTAGTAAGAGATGAGCAGTGATAAGAAGGGGCAAGGATGTCTAGAGCAGAGGGCAGTGTTGAGTGTTCATGGCAAACAATTGGTTTGAGATTGGAGAGGGAGATAAGTAAAGTCAGGGCAGGAGTACTGAATGACCTGAGGAAGTATTGAGTGTTGGAGGGAGTAGAGGTCTCCATGAAGGTGAAAAATAGGTATGGGATGGGTGGGGCCTAGGGAGAGGTAGAATGACATAGGAGGTTATGATCCAATAGAGGAATATCAGAATATCTAATTAGGGAAGCAGAACCCTTGTCAGTAATGAGGAAACCTAGTGTGTGACCATCCGGGGATGGCTGAGGAGAAGAAATCTGCATGAGATTTAATGAGGCTGAGAAACTGGAACGTTAGGCAGTTTCAGGGTCCATATTAAAATCTCCTAATGCAAGGGCAGAAGTTGGGGAAGAGAGGAAGTTGGTGAGCTGGACATTTTATGCTTTGTCCCACTCTGACAATCTGTGTTGGCTCTAACGGTTCATGTCCTAAGGTCACTTCTTCAGTCTATAAACTTCATCTGTAAAAGTGAGGATGGTGGAGTAGATAACTTCCTAAAGGCTCCTTCCAACCCTAACATGCCACATTCCACTTTCTGTGTCCTAAGGTCCCTTTCAGAGCCAACGTGCTGTGCCCTGAGGGTCTTCATTCTGGGCCCCAAGCTCTTCCACTGTAAAATAAAGCAAATGGGTTAGGTGATCTCCAGTTCTAACCTTCTGCCAATCTATGCTTGAGGAGTCTGTCAACATGGCAAACAGTCTTGGCAGTAACTGGGCCACCAGCTGTACCTCCTCACAAGCCTCTGCCAGGAAGGCTCAGGGACTTTCCATGGCTTCAGAGTTGTCTTCTTTCCACAAAGTTCTGCCTCTCTGAAGGAATACCTTAGGGATTTCTAAATTCAAAGATTAGTATTACAATAATCTAACTGAACCAAGATGAGAGTCTAAGGAGGATGACTGCAAGTGAGAGGGAAGGAGAGGAGTCAGGTGTACGAGATATTTCAGAGTTATTGCACTCCCTGGCAACTGACTGGACAAGTGGGGTGACTGGAGTTCAAAATGACTCTGAAGATTCAAAATGTGATGGTAAATTTTACTGGACTCCTTTTCCCCCTCCTTTTCATTCTTCATCATAAAGTATTGCTTTCTGCATTGAGAAGTGAGGGGAACTACATTTGGAAATGAAGGTGATGTAAAAAAGAAAGAAAGAAAGAAAAGGAAGAAAAAAAAAGAGAAATAGCAATACGTTTAAAGATAAATTTCAAGTCTAAGGAGGGTGATCTTCAGAGAGGGCAAGTGGCGAGTGGTATTGGAGCAGCAGGACACAGTTTTAACCAAGACTGGAATGGAAGGAAACATTTCCCCATGGATGTGCCTGGAAATGCCATTGGGAGCCCTTTGTCAAGGAAGGGATGGCCAAGGCCTATAGTGACAATAATCCCACTGCCTTTGAGGTTTACAATGCACTTTCCCCCCTACTACAATCTTCTGACATAGGTAGTCAGTCAGTCCGTCAATAAACATCTATTAAGTGCCTGGCACAGTGCCAGGGATACAAAAAGAGGCAACATACAGCCCCTGTCTTCAAAGAGCACACAGTCTAATGGGGAGACAACAATTAGACAAATAGGTACAAACGAGCTATGTGGGAAATAATTGAGAGAAGGCAGTAGGATTAAGAGGAGTTGGGAAGGGCTTCCTGTAGGAGATGGGAATTTACTTGGGACATGAAGGAAGCCAGGGAAACCACTGGGTGGAGATGAGGAGGGAACAGTGCCTGGAACCAAGATTTTTTTTTACTAGAACAGAAAGAAGGCCAGTATCACTGCATTCAAGAGTATGTATCTGGGAGTAAGGGGTTAAGAGACTGGAAGAGTGGTTGGGGGAGAGGGGCAGGACCAGGTTCTAAGGGCAAACAAAGGAGTTTGTATTTGGTGCTGGAGACAATAGGGCGCTACTGGAGGTTAGAGAGAGAGAGAGAGAGTGAGTGTGAGAGTGTGTGTGTGTGTGTGTGTGTGTGTGTGTGTGCGCGCGTGTGCTTTAGGTTGACTCCTTTGGCTGCTGAATGGAAGATAGCTTGGAGTTGGTGGAGACTTAAGGCTGTTAGACCCACCAGTAGGCTAACATTTACATGGCACCTACTACGTGCCAGACATCGTGCTAAGACCTTTAAATATTAGATCCTCACAACAACCTGAGAGGCAGGTTACTATTACATCACCATAGAGTCGCACAGACTAGCCGTGGTTATTTATTACTATTTTCTTCCAATAGCACCATGGTTGTCATTCCCAATTACCCCGTGGTTATCATTACGATTCTTATGCTCTCTCTGCCATGGTTGTCCTCCTCTACTAGTTCTGCCATTGTTGTTGTTGTTGTTGTTGTTATTATTACTGTTCTCTCCCATAATGCCATGGTCATAATTATTCTCCTCTCCCAATTCCACCATGATTAGTATTATTACTCTCTCCCAGTCCCGCCTAGCCACGCCCCTCGTGACTCCGCCCCCTCGGAGGTGGGGCCTAGGGAGGCTGGAGACGCCCGCGCACGTCCGCTTACGGAAGGGGGCGGAGCCCGAGGGCGGTCCGCGGAATAGCGTCAGCACGCAGACGCTTGACCGTGCGTGACCCCGGCGGCCCGTGCTGCTTCCGCGCCTCCGCTTCTTTCACCTCCTCCGAGCGGCTCTTTTCTACCTGGCGGGGCCTGGGCCGGGCGAGCCCCGCGGGCCCCGTGCGGTGCGCCCCGGCCCCGGCGGGCTCCCGGGCCCCGGTCTGTCCAGGGGCAGGAGGGTCCGGGGGCCGCCCGCCCCGTGAGGAGTCATGACGGGACCCAAGGCCGCTCGCGCCCCCGCGTCCTCCCGGGCCCCGCCGCAGCCGCCGCCCGGAGCCCAGGCCCTGCCCCCGTGCCCCGCCTCCTGAGGCCGGGCCGCGAGTGTGGATTCTGGGCCGTCGGGAAGCGGGCCGTGAGCGGCTGGCCTGGCCCTTCTCCGCTTCCGTCCGTCAGGTCTGTAGCCCCTCTCCGGGGAGCCCGAGGAGGGGCCGTGACCGTGAGCCGGCCCTCCGACCCTTCCTGGCGGCAGGGGGCAGTCGTCGCCCCCTTCCACAGTGTCCTCTTGTGTAAGATGAGGGCTTGGCCTTAGGTGACCCCGTGACCTCTGGAGCAGCAGGGGGCGGGGGGCCCTGCGCGTCTCCTGGGTGTCTGTTCATTTACGCCTCGGTTCCTTTGGAGTGGAAGCCCCTTCAGGGCAGGGTCTGTTTGTGCTTTCCTTGTATCTGCCGGTTTAGCACCGAGCCGAAGTCTAGTACGGCATAAATACTTGCTGGGTGATCACAGCACCCTGGGGAGGTAGCGAGGCCAGATTTATTCTGCCCATTTTACAGATGAGGAAAACCAAGTCCAAAGCCTGGCTCGTGGTCGCCGAATTAACAGATATCAGTGAGGATTCGAATTCCCACCTTCCACTCACGTCCCTTCCCTACTTTGTCCACTACATCATGGGATGTCCCTTTCCTGTTTGACCCTCGCTTAGCTTTGGTTTCCTCAGATGCAAAAATAGGGATAATTGTACTAATAGCAATCAGGTTGTTGGGAATAAAGCCCTTTGTCAACTTTTAAGGGTTCTCAAATGGAATGGGGTGCCTCAGGAAAGAATGGAGGTCTTCAAGCAAACCCCCGATGCAGTGCCTTCCAGCTCTGAAAATCCATGATGATGTGAACAGATTCCCGAAGCCTCTTAAGGACCTTCGGCGTTTTGCCCTCTTCCTTTAGACTTGCTCCAGCTTGCCACTGTCCTTCCTCAAATGTCTTACCAGTTCTGTAGGACTATTTCCTTTTCAGTCCTATCTGGGTACTCTTTACCTCTTTTAATACAGCCTGAGGCTCCACTAGTTTCATTTGCTGCCATGTCATACTTGATTCATACTAGACTTACAGTCGCCTGAAACTCTGTTATCTTTTTTAAAGGTTTATTGATGCCTTTTGTTTATACATAACAGTTATTTTCGCTTAAAGCCTCATACCTTTTTAAGACAAACCATTATGCTCTTAACTCAGGTTTAAGACAATATATATGTCTACTAAATATCTCATCAGATTTGTCTCATATCTAGTCTGTTGAGACCATTTTGAGTCCTAATTCGTTCAGTGTGTTAGCTCACCCTCCTAGCTTTGTGTCAACTGAAAATCTGATAAACACGCTTTCTCTTTCTTCATTCAAGTCATTGATTAAAAAATGTTGAACAGTTAAAACTTTTAAGGGTTCTCCATCATGTACACTTGTCTAACTCATATTTGAAACTTGAATATATAACCCTTTCCGAGCTAAAAACTATCTCATTCTTCAATTTTTCTGATAAGCACTTCCTCTCAGTCTTTCCTTTGTTCAGCTCTGGTTCTATTTTGTAGCCCACTGGTATATGTGTTTTATTGTCCTCACACTCTAATTTGTAACCTCCTTGAGATTAGAAACAGTGTCATGATGTCATTTTTGTATGCTGAACATTCAAGCAGTGCCTTGTACATACTATGCGCTTAATAAATATTTGTGAGTTGAAATCTTGGTGATAGGCCAGTCTAGGCTTCTAAATGACTATGGACTTGGCATGGGGCTACATGTAGAAAGATTGGGAATTAGGCCCTCCTGCTTCTCACCCCTCGTTCTCTGGTCATTGGAAAGTTGTTTACATTTTTCACCAAACTCAGTGTGTCTTTTTCTCTGAAATGGAGATAGTAATTCCTATACTGGTGCTAGGGAGCAAAACCCATTTAGAGGAATAAAAGGGTGGTTTATGTGAAGAGTAATTTAGGTACAAATTCAAATTATACTCATAAACTACATTTATTTTTAAAGAATGAATTAAAGTTGAAATGCATTGCTGTGACCTAAATTAAAATATTGCAGATAGGCCATCCCCTTGTTACACAACATTGTAATAAAAATGGTTATAGAAATGCATGTGGTGTTTATGGACCTTCAGTTATTCACAGAATTGAGATTCAGAATTGTTGCTAAGACCTAGTACTTTAAAAGATTTGTGGTTTTATTGTAGTAGCAGAGAAGTATTTAATAATGTGCCTTGGGATTTTCCCCAGATGTTTACGTGCAGGGTCCATATTTATTCCCTGGGGAGGGCAAACCTTTGAACTGAGCCTTTTGACATTTGCTCTTGGGAGTGAGGGGCAACCCAGGGTGACCTAGTTGGGTCACTGGAGGCAGGGAGATGATGGCTCGTTTAACTGTGTGTTTTTGTTTTAAATTTTCATAGGTTTTAATCTAATTTGAAAATGAGTAAGTGGAAGAAGACTCCGGGTGATCAGGCAGGAGGCCTTGAAAAGTTCAGTCCTGCTGTTCTTGCTGATGTTTCTGAACTCTTTGCCAAGAAGTTTTCCTATGGTAAACCACCCAACAATGAGTGGCAGTTACCAGATTCCAGTGATGTTTTCACCTGTGATCACACAGAATTCAATTCACTTCTTGTTTTGAAGAATTCCATGAATGAAGTAAAAAACTTACTGAGTGATAAAAACCTAGATGATTGGCATCAGCATACTTCCTTCACCAATAAAGCTGGAAAAATCATTCCTCACATGAAAAAGATTGTAAATGCGGAGCTTTGTACCCAAGCTTGGTGTAAATTCCATGAGGTATTGTGTAGCTTCCCACTTATTCCCCAAGAAGCTTTTCAAAATGGAGAACTGAACTCAGTACACCTTTGTGAAGCTCCTGGTGCTTTTATAGCCAGTCTTAACCACTATTTAAGATCCCATAATATACCCTGTGATTGGAACTGGGTAGCCAACACCCTGAATCCTTACCATGAAGCAAATGACAACCTTACAATGATTATGGATGACAGACTTATTGCAAATACCTTGCCATGGTGGTACTTTGGTCCAGATAACACTGGCGATATCATGACCCTGAAACATTTGACTGGGCTTCAGCATTTCATAAGCAACATGTCTCCTGTTCACTTGGTCACTGCAGATGGGAGTTTTGATTGTCAAGGAAATCCAGGTGAACAAGAAGCTTTGGTCTCTCCTCTGCATTACTGTGAAGTAGTCACTGCACTGGTGACTCTTAGTAGTGGTGGCTCTTTTGTTTTGAAGATGTTCACCCTATTTGAACATTGTTCTATCAACTTGATGTACTTGCTCAATTGTTCTTTTGAGGAGATTCATGTTTTCAAACCTGCTACTAGCAAAGCTGGGAACTCAGAAGTCTATGTGGTTTGTCTTTATTATCTGGGTAGAGAGGCCATCCATCCTCTGTTGACTAAAATGATGCAACATTTTGGAACTGAAATTATCAGTAAAGCTCTTTTCCCCCAACATATAATTCCAGAATCTTTTCTCAAAAGGCATGAAGAATGCTGTGTCTTCTTTCACAAATATCAGTTGGAGACTATTTCTGAAAACATTCGTCTGTTTGAGTGCATAAGTGAAGTGGAACAAGCTAGGCTGAATAATTTGAGAGATTGTGCTGTGGAACACTTCATGCAAAAGTTCCAAATGAAGCGCCTTTCCAGAAGTAATTGGCTAGTAAAGAAATCCAATATTGGTTGTAGTATGAATTCAAAGTGGTTTGGACAAAGAAACAGATATTTTAAAACCTATAATGAAAGAAAGATCCTAGAAGCACTTTCATGGGAAGATAAGATGGCCAATGGATACTTCAATCATTGGGCTGAAGAGCATGCTATAAGTAGTGCTGGGAAAAATACTGTTTTAGAAAGTACGTGCTCAAATCTGGAATATCACTTGTGGTATGTCTTAGAAGGAATGAAATTACCGAAAGTTAAGTGCTCTCCTTTCTGTGATGGTGAGGTTTTAAAGACTCTAAATGAAGCGATTGAAAAGTCAACAGGGGGTGCCTCAAACTTGGGTTCCACATTGAGACAAAAGCCACAGCATTGCTATTCTTGCCACATTCTTTCTGAAGAGCTGATCTTTTCTGAGTTGTTGAGCCTTACAAAGTGCTCTCAGGATGAGTCAGCAGAAGGACTAACCCACAAAATCAAGTGTCTGGTAGTGGGTTTGCCTCCTCTTGATAACAAAATCTGTCAATCCGTGGAGCTGAGTCTTTTGGAGTCTGCTGAGCTCATGACTTTCCATTGTTCACTGCTTCACGATGGAGAACCCCGGTATCAGCAGGTATTTCTGGACTGCTTTCTGAGTTCCCTACCTCAGCTTCAGACAGGGGACGCTTTGATCTTGCCCGTGCTGTCGTGTTTCACGAGGTTCATGGCTGGCATGGTCTTCGTTCTGCATAGCTGCTTCAGGTTCGTCACCTTTTCTTGTCCGACTTCCTCAGAGCCTCTGAGCACTTGTGCCGTCCTTCTGTGTGTTGGTTATCGGGCTCTCCCATCCCCTGTGCTCCAGTACCTGTGGAATCTGAAGGAACTGATGAGCACGCTGCTCAGCTCTGATGCTTCACATCAGGTTTTGCAGTTTGTGCCGATGGAAGTTGTCCTTAATGGAATGCTGCTAGAATTTTTATGGGATTTAAACACTGCCATTGCAAAAAGGCAGTTGCATTTGATCATTCAAGGAGAGCAGCAGAAGTCCACACTGTAAAACTACAGGCAGAGCTCTTTACTTTGGCTGTGACTTCTGATTTCAAAATTCTTTTGTGATATAGTTTAAAACTTCAGGGATTTCGCTTTGGGGACAGCCCAGGTGTTTGCAACATTCAAAGTTTCTTCGGTTTCACAAAGCTTCTAAGTTCCTGTAACCTCTAAGTAGACACCCATAAGCTTAAGGTTCTCCCAGCTCTTGGAAAACTGACTAACATGAAATTCAACTGCTAAGCTTGGAACTTCGGTGGGGGAGTGAGTGGGGAGGGTGTGTGTGTCTGTGTGTCTGTGTGTCTGTGTGTCTGTGTATCTGTGTATGTCTGTGTCTGTGTGTGTGAGGGACATGGTTCATGTTTTAACGATTAAACAGGGTAAAGGTCCTATCCTTGGTGAGAGGAGATGAGTCACTTCTCAGCAACTCTGTATTTCACCATTTCAGCTTTGCTTTTCAGGGAGCCCATCTGGCCAGATTTCCTGATGTGAAATAACTTTAGGCAATAAATAGTCAACTTGCTCCATTATTCAGATATCTGTAATTGACTTGTAAATCCATTTTTGAGATGGGTATTTTTGGGAATTCTGACCAAAATTAACTAACTGAAATGTTATTAGGAAGATTCAAACCAACAATCATGTTTGAAATGGAAAGGAAAAGATTCAGCATGCCTCATATGTACTTCTGTATTAAAGATTTGTCGGTGGTGTATTGAGTTTTAGAAATGCCCCTTCAGAATCATTGAAATTCAGTATTTTTCTAAGTGCAGATTTATGTATCTATATATCTAGATGTGTAAATCCTCACATTGGAAACTTGGAATGTAGTATATGGGGAAGGGGAGTGAAGTATTCTTGTGGGAAAGAATGGTGGTACAATGGTAGAAATATTTTACTGTTTGAGCTATTTCAATAGAGTAAAAGTTACTTTTGGAATAGTTAACAAACTAACACTGGGGAGTGTGGTAAGGGAAGGCTTTACTAGTTCAGTTTGCTTTCTCTTGTACGTAAGTGTTAGGAAAAATAGGATTTTTGATTTAAAATACTGGACAAGTCAACACTAGATAGTAATTATATGATCCCTGTGAATCAAGAAATTGAAGAATGCAATTTGGCCTGTTCATTTAAGACATTTTTGTTGGCATATTAAAAATAGATGCATGCTCTAATGGCTGAAGTAATTTGATAAATATTCTGCAAATTTTTCATGTTCTTGCCCTGCTATTTTGAGCTCCATTACAGGTTTATGAATAAGTCACTAGCAGAGAGAAATTTTATTTTCATTTATTTAAGATTAGAAGAGGAAGTTTAAAAAATGTGACTAATGCAGACATTTTCTCTTTAAGCAAAGCTTTGGGGTGGTTTAACAGTGTTCTTTCATTTACCGTGGCCTAATTTGTAGTCATTAAGATGTAGATTCTAAGATTCTAATTTACATAGAAGGACCAGCTCAGGGAAAGTGTTCTGCAGGAGAACTAAAAGAGTGTGGATTTAATGTTGGTGTTTAGGAGATTACGTCACTGCTTGTCTGGTAGCAGGAGTTAGGTTTGTGAAGGAAACTAATATCCTGATTAATTGCTGGTCACCTTGTGAAAGCACTTTTTCTAATTGTAAAATAGGGGAGCCTGATAGGTAATTCATTAACGAGAATTAGAAACTGTTGGAAAATTATTTTGTCTGGCAGCTCTGTGTGTTTCAGTTTGTTTTTGCTACTTTAATAAGTTCTACTGTATTACTGATCAGTGTGTGCTTTTTAGGTAGTGGAGAGAGGGGGGGCTTTGGGACCAGGAAGACCCAGGGCTGACACCTGTGTGACCCTATGCGGCTTCCTTGATTGGTCAGTACTCTTGGCAGCTCTCTAGGGGGTCAGGCCAAATCTGGTCCACCAGTAAGAATGGTTTTTATGTTCTTAAATACAGTGAAACTTTATTCAAAAATGTGAGACCCATTCTTCGCTACCAGCTGTACAAAAGCAGTGGGTTGGCTGACCCCTGCTCTAAGACTGTAGGTTTTGGGAAAGGTGCTACCCTGCGTTGGTGGGGGGAGTTTCTTTATTTGGGTGTTCCCTGTGCCAGTGAAAGCTCAGGCCTACTCCTTGTCCTGTCTCTTGAACAGTATGTGTTTGAAAACTGAATTCTAATATTCTTGGTATTTAAGGAACTTCAAAGAAGCTATTAAAAGCTTAGTTTTTTAATAAGCAGGAGTAGATCTTCTATTTCCTTCTTCAGGCACTTTTCATCTAACTTATAGCATTTAAATTTACTCCATAGTTGAGGCCATAAAGTTAAATGAGTTAGATGCAGATCTAGTTTCCAACAATAATTAGAAGTGATTTCAGTAGAAGGAAAAAGGGTATCTCCAGAATAAGAAGAGGAAGAAAGTAAGAAATCTGCTGTGTGGTATACAACGGATCAAAGGAGAGTTGTGACAAATCAGATAATGTCAGTAAAGTGCTTTGCAAACCTTAAAGCACTATGTAAATGTTAGCTGTTATATGGGGCTGAGTTTTTAAATTAGTTTCCCTTAATATATTTTTTGAAGAGTGGTTTGCAGACACAAAACTGTGCAAATTTAATTTAGTTTCTCAGTAAATTCAAATTGAAAGGGAGATGTTTGTAAATTTTGTTTCTCCATTTATACTAAAGTATGCTACTCCTAAGGGGAAAAAAATAATTTTGGAACTTGTTTTTTTTTTTCATGAGTTAACATAATAATACTTAGATGATTTAAGTGACAGTAAATATTTTTCCTCAAGTAAAAATCAGGAAATTATAATTTGTTGTGTGTGTGTTATTGTTATTATATTTGGAGTGTATATGTTTTATTCTAGTTTTTTAAATTCCAATTGGAGTATGCATATTATGTTATTCTAGTTTTTTTATTGTAAATCTTGATATGTAAGGAAAACTGAGTGAGAAGAGCAAAGAAAATGTATTTATTGATGTTATTATTTTGTTCATTTTTGATAAGCATAAGGAATTTAAAATTGTTTAAATAACTTTATCTCCAATATAATAAATTGAATATTTGTATTAGTTCTGATACATTGAGCATATGGGACTTGAATTTTTGGCTCATACTTTAAGAAAGGTAAAGAATTTCTAATTATAATCTGAATCAGATCTGTCTTTTCTGGGTGTCCCCCTTTTCAATTTTCGGCAGAATATGCACGTTTAAGTGCTTAGTTAGTTGATATAAAAAGGGCAACACTGAATTTATTTACAATTTTCCCTGCAATTTTCATGTCTGCTATGTTGAAATGGTATTTTTAAATGAAAAAAATATCTTTGTAAATAAACAATTTTATTTAATTTACTGAAGCTTCTGGTTCTTTTTTTCCCATTAGTATTCACTTGTTATAAAACAAATCGTTTTGAAAGTATGGTAGCAAATATACTTCTGCTTTCTACATTTGAGAATTTCCTTCCATTCATTTCTCAAGGAGGGCAGGATTGGAACCTGCTTTTGCATGCAAAGCTTACTGAGAAAAAGAAAAAGTAACCAAAAAGTTACTAGTGGATTTTCCCTAGTATGGTAAACTTGTTTCAAATCTTAATATTATAAAGCATGACCTTTTCTATACTTCACCTAAATACCTCTGCTTGAATCACGGAATTTAGAATTAGAAGGCACTTGGGCCACGGAATTAGTGGCACTTAGTCAATACCTGAAAGGAATTCCCTTTATAATGCACTTGACACGCTTGTCCAGTTTTTGCTCCATAGATCTCCAGTGAGGTGGAAACTACCATCTTCAAAACCATTACTATTGAAAGTGCATTTCATTGCACTTTTGGACAGTAGCCAATTGTTAGGAAATTTTCCTGATACCATGCCGAAATTTTCCTCTTTGCAACTTTGGTTCTCATTTCTGTCTTCTGGGGTCAAAACAGATCCAATCCCTCTTCCACATAACCCTTCAAATAAAGAGCACAGTTATGTACTTATGTCTTTGTCTTCATTTCTCTCCTTGCTTCCTCGTCCCTCCCTGCCTCCCCTTTACCAGGTAAACGCTCTTAATCCCTTTAACAGATGCTCTGAAGACTTGAGGTCTTCAGCATCCTAGTTGTTCTCTGTATGTTGTTAAGCTTATCGATGTCATTCCTAAATTGTGACACCTGGAATTGAACACTACTGCAGATATGGTCTGACAAGGGAAGAATACTGAGAGACTCACTTATTCCTAGAAACTAAACTGTAATTAAATGCAGTTTAAGATTGAATTAGGTTTCTCTGGCTGCCATATTGTACCACTATTGTGTTAAATATGTAGTTCACTAAATCCCCTTAAAAAAGCATGATTATTGTTATTCTGAACTTGACAAACCGTAACAAATCAAATGTGAGCTTGAGAGCAGGACTATTTTGCCTTTCTATGTATCCTTAGCATATAGTGCAAAAGCTGATGCATAGTGAAAATAAAACATTAAGTAAAGAACAGAAAAGGCATTGTATGTAAATTCACATCTATGGTGTACGCCTTGCATTTTTTAAAAAAAGTATGTAATAAAATCAGTTTCAAAGCTGCCCTCCTTGTCTGTTTCCTAAACTTCAGTTCTGTGCTCTTACACACTGATTTTACTGATTCAGACCAGTTCGTTCTGGTACCTCAGGTTTAAGATTAGAATAAAATGAAACAATCGTGGAACATTTAGCAGTTACTTAGACATAAAATGGAAAGGATGCTTACTGAACAAGGACATAGCTTTTATTCAGGGAACCTAGCCTCCTTCCTATTTATTAACGTGGAATGGTCTCTAGTTAGAAGTCTCATGTCCTGGGGGGCCCTTTTTTTACTCTTATAACAAGTTTAACTAAGGTCAGCAACCTGAGCCAGCTAAGTCCGAAGAACAGTTTCGATGACTTTAGACTACAGCACTTATGGTAACACCTTACTTCTTCCATAGATGTATGAGTAACTATTACTTTTGGTCTGGATTACTCTAAACTGGATTGACACTGGCTGATCTACTTTACCAGAGAAAGACCACCACCCCGTGGTTACCCTTAGATTTTCTCAGGGTACTGCTTAGGAGCAACTGGTGTGGATTAGTCTTTATTCACTGCAGTTCCTGATCAGCCACTGATTCATTTTCATCTAAACAAACCAACCACTCCTAATAAGGGAAGGGAGATGGAATAAGCATTTGTAAGCAATTAACTCCATGCCAGGCACTGTGCTGAATGCTTTACAAATATCTCAATAATGACACTTAAAAATTTTAAACATATCCATTTACATAGCAGTAAGGCAGAAGAAACATTGCAGGAATGTGTAGTAAACTGAATGCAACAATAATAAATACATTACAACCATGCATGAACCTGGGTAACATTTTTCCTCCGATAGGTTCAGCATCTGTGGAGGAAAGTGGTTCTGCCCAGAAACCTGTCAAGGAAACACGTGAGGGAGGAAAGCCCATATTCTTGGGTTGACTTGCAGCTCACTCCAGGCTACAGACTTTGATGTCATTGGTCCATTCAGGAGCATCTTATCTCGGGAAAGCATGTCTTTAGCAACTCTGTTGGTCCTCACTTCTCTCCGAGACAAAGCTGTTCTTGAATTCAGCATGGCATTTACAAGCTTCCAACTTACAAACACTTTTTTGGGGGGGGGGTAGGGAGAGCAATCCGGAGTTAAGTGACTTGCCTGGGGTCACAGCTAGTAAGTATCTGAGGCCGGATTTGAACTCAGGTCTTCCAGATTCCAGGGCCCATGCTCTATCCACAGCACCACCTAGCTGCCCGTACTCATTTTTAAATTGGTGTTGAGAAAGTATTATCTCTTAATTTCGGGTAACTCTTTCCTTGAAGCCAGAGAACTGAAAAGCTCCAGTTGACTGTAAGCAAGGCAAACAAGTCTATCCAGTTCTTTGCTCATCAGGATTCTGTTATATCCAATTAAATCTCTATCTTTTTCTATTAGCAGCTGAAAATCTCTCATACCCCTTTCTGCTTTTACCTTTCAAATTGAAGGGGGTGAAGCAAAGAGCAACAATTACTTCTGAAATCCTTCATTTCTATGAAGCCTTGGGAAGTGGTCTCAAATTCAAATAGAAATGGGGCCATTAAAATGTACCTAAGGATCCCTGCCCAAGGGCACATATTGACTTAGAAAATCACAGATTAACATTATGTTTTATTTTTTTATTTTATTTATGTTTATTTATTTAATTAAATTTATTATTTATTTTATTTATATTTGTAGTTTGTTGAATATTTCCCAATTAAATTTTAATTTGGTTCTGGCCACATTTGCAAGTTCCAGGGTCCTTCCATTTGACAATGAGGTTGAACCTCTCTCCACCCAATCAAGAATGATGGAGCCCAACCTTGTCAGCAGAATACTTCTGCTGCAGGTCTCCAAACAGCTCCCAGAACCTGCTTTTCACCCCCTGTTAAATTATCTTCTTTCAGGCTCTTTAATCTACTCCTAGAACAATTTATCAAATTTTTGTGTCATACGTTTTCTTTTAAGTTTTATTTTTTTTAATTCTGAATTTAAACATCAGAAAAGAGCATTTTCATATACATGGCAGAACAGAAAGAGGATTGCATATAGAGCTGAATCTCCATTTCAAATGAATGCTTAAAAGAAAAAAACCCGACAAACCCCAAACAAGGTTCTTATCCTGGAACTTTCTGACCATCCTGGAGCTTTCTTGAGAGATTCCTTAGCTGTTGCTGCCTCTGGACACAGAGTTTTGTATACTATACATTTTTTCTCTTTGATCATGCTGGTGCTCACTTTGTTTTTGTTTTTTTGTTTTTTTTTGGGGCGGGGGCTAGGCAATGGGGTTAAGTGACTTGCCCAGGGTCACACAACTAGTAAGTTTTAAGTGTCTGAGGCCAGATTTGAACTCAGGTCCTCCTGAATCCAGGGCCAGTGCTCTATCCACTGAACCACCTAGCTGCCCCAAAATCTTGTGTTTTGTTTTTTTTTTTGGTGAGGCAATTGGGGTTAAATGACTTGCCCAGGGTCACACAACTAGTAAGTTTTAAGTGTCTGAGGCCAGATTTGAACTCAGATCCTCCTGACTCCAAGGCCAGGGCTCAATCTACTGTGCCATGTAGCTGCCCTTGGTCCTCACTTTGAATAAAGAACTTCCTTTCCTGTTACCAATGAGCTTCTTCCTACCTCTTTGCAATTCTGGGGTAGGTGTCTCTTACTATAGTGAGGTTCATCTGTTGCCCACTCCTCCCACCCCTTCCCTCCATGTTTGTATAGTCTTTTTAAAATTTTTTTTATTTTTAGGCAATTGGGGTTAAGTCATTTACCCAGAGTCACACAGTTAGTAAGTGTCAAGTGTTTGCTTTGAGCCCGGATTTGAACTCAGGTCTTCCTGATTCCAGGGCCTATGCTCTATCCATGGCACCATCTGGCTGCCCACAGTCATTTTTAAATTGGTATTGAGAAGATATTATCTCTTAATTTGGGTAACTCTTCCCTTGAAACCAGAGAACTACAAAGCTCCTGTTGACTCTAAGCAAGGCAAACAAATCTATCCAGCTCTTTGCTCATCAGGATTTTGTTATATTCAATTAAATCTCTATCTCTTTCTATCTCTTCTCTTTCTAAGTCCTCCTGACTTCAGGGCCCATGCTCTATCCACTGAGCCACCTAGCTGCCCCATGTTTGTATATTCTTACAGACCCCAATTAGGAGATAATAGCAAGTTCCACCTTCTTTCTTCTTTCTTCACTAGGATATTTTACCTTCTCTTCCCTTTCCCTAGCTTTAAACCCTCAGGACAGAATCAAAACCACCCCCAGGTTCTCTTTTTTTCTTATTTGATTCCTTTAATAGCAAAATAATAATATAATTTGAAGACGATAAAATTTTAATGGACCCTGGTTTCTTTCCCCCCAATTAGAATGTTAGCACTGCATCATATAACAATCTTCCAATTGCTCTAATAAATTTGCCTTTCTATATTTCTCTTGACTCATGTTTGTATTTGAAAGTCCCTACGCAGCTCTTTTTTTTTCTTTCTGAAATGATCATCTCTGTTTGATCAAAGGTCCCTTTTTATTCCTATATCTTTCAATGGCTTAAATAAGAGCCTTCTGACTTTCAGTAACTCATCTTTCACTAAGAAAAAAAGTAATAACTTGACAATTTTCCCTTACGAAATCAACAGACTTAAAAAAAAAATCATCCTCCAGTCTCCATTTTTTACCCTTCATTTTTTGTTTTATCTTCATATCTTAAAGCAGTTTTATGCAAATGAACTAGGGAACCATAATGCTCACGATCTCTAAGTACTCAATGTGGTCCAATATCTAATTTGTGCTTTTGAAACTGTTCCTTC